ATTAATTTCTTTCTATTTTTAGTAGAGACGGGGTCTCGCTCTTGCTCAGGCTGGTTTTGAACTCCTGAACTCAAACAATCCGCCCGCCTCAGCCTCCCAGAGAGCTAGGATTACAGGCGTGAACCACCGCGCCCAGCCAGAAAAGCACTTCTTAACTAGTCAAGTTTGGCAATCACAATTCAGGGGCCACCCTGCTAGGTGGGGGAAATGCAGGGACACTCACTCTGCAGAGACTTCTGTCTGCAAGGTGGGTTGTGATCTGGAGCAGCATCCAAAGTAAGGGATCGGATTACAGTCTCACACACAAACTGAGTCCCACTCAGGTCTTCTTCTGCTTCCTCCACTGATGCAACGTTCTCAGCCTTCCTCTTTCCTGACACTGTGGAATCTGAAAGAGACACGAACTTTTGCACTTGGTGTTTAAAGTGCTGAGGAGGTTTTACCAGTCATTACCCATGCTGAAACCATGTCAAGAAACAGCTGCTATCTGTGCCATGTGAAGGTGGGGAGACTTCAAAAAATGAGATGCTACAGAAAACTCATTTACATGCTAAGGTAAAATTAGTAGAGGGTAGGTGCAAAAATAGGGTGTGGTATGGAAAGGAAGGATACAAATGCTTTACAAATATTTAACCCCTTACCAGGAAGTGCTTTAAATTCCGCCCCTTCACTCTCTTCCTGTATCTGCCCCAAGCCTGGCTTCTCTATTAAAGGACTGTCATGTGGCAGAGGAGACATGCAAGGAGTCATATCTGGAGAATGAAGGCAGGAGAATCATCAACTGAGAAAAAGCACCACATCATCAATAGTCAGTGTCCAGAAGCAGCACTGCATAGGCTTCTTGCCTCCTACAGGGCTAAAATAAACCCAAGGATGCTTCGATGCCTGTCGTAAAAAATTTCTCCAGACTACTAGGTGTGCAAATATCCCAGGCAGATCAATCAAGGCAGGAAGGATCATAAATAATTATTTGGCCTGGAGGGCTATGGCCAAGACACAAAACCTTGAATACAAAGGAAGAAAGGGACACATGTCTAGGGAAAAAGAGAGGAGAGGTGTGGTGGTTCACGCCTGTCATCCCAACACTTTGGGAGGCTAAGACTGGAGGATTGCTTGAGGCTAGGAGTTCGAGACCAGCCTGGGCAACACAGTGAGACCCTATCT